TAAACATTTTATCTCACCCCCCCCCCCCCCCCCAGCTCACTCCAGAATTTCTGATTAGGTTTGGTCAGTGTATTTGTGCAGTCCCTCCCAGTGCAAAGTAACCTGGAGATTTGTAGTGAATAATGTCTGACAATACAGGTGAGGTCTGTGCGTGGCGTTTCAGAAATTGCATAAAGTGAAGTAGCCCTTTAGGTTTCAATCAATAAATGAATTCTCAAGCAACAACAATGGACACTGGAGCAGGCTGGGAAAGGCACCGATGTCAACGCATATACAAAACAAGCTGGCCCTAAAAGAATAAATTCACTGACAGATTTGACAATAACCCTATTGTTGTTTTTGTGTAATTGCACTTATGCTGAACTTATTCAAAAACGTAATAAAAAAAGCAAACTATAGAGTTCAAGATATTTTACGTAAGAGAAAACCTTGTCCCGCTTGACAATATAAGAGGATAGACCAATGACAACTGTCTTGTAGAAAAGGACTTCATAAGTACATTGGTGACACCGCAGACCTTTAGCCACCATTATAAAAAGCAGCCATTTTGTGAGCGCATGTAGTGCTGTAACTGAGGCATTATGGGTACCATTAAGCTAACAAATCCACCAAAGGGTTGCAGCAAAGGTGGCTTGTAGGATGGTTACCCACTTACAGAATGAACAATAAAGTCAATAACTGCGCAGACCTAACTGTTTTGATATGTAATTTTCAGGGAAGCATAGTGCTATTTATACAGAGAGCCTAGGCTAAGCAATCAGCAGATATCATCCAGCATACTAGAAGGTTTTGATCAAAGCATCAAATTTCGGATACTCTGAAAAGCTTATTTTTCTATCACTGATCACGTGTTAATATAGGATTAGAATACTGAGCTCTTAGCATAAATAAAGTTTAGTGTTATCAGACTAATGTGTTGTGACTACCGACTGGTTTACTACCCAGCAAAAGAGACGAAGGATACATATTAACAGCTTGACATAAAATAAAGCAGGATAGACCACGTGAGTGAAAGCAAGCAGATTCCCTGTGTTTCGCCTCTGTTTATTTGGATGCGAGAAAAGGAAGATCTGGGCAAGGCAGATAGAGCTACTTTCATCCTTTGTGTAATACTTGTCACATACAGCACAGTACTTACAGTGATAAAAAGGTAACAAACAGCATGAAAGAGATGAAAAAAGAATCAGTCTTATTAAATACGTAATCAGAAGAGAACAGAAATTCGGGACACTGACCCGTGCGTGGTACATTTAATATGTTGGCACAGACTTGTCCAATGAGCTAACAATTTCACAGGTCACCCCACATGCATTCAGACGGTTAAATATTTCATGTGTCAGGCAAAGCTTGACAGAACACCAGGATGAGCCAAGAAATGGCTGCCTTTAGGCCTGGTGTTAAAGGGTTTTAGGCTTGTGTTGGTGGTATCAGTTTGAGATACTTGTGAGATGATTCAAAATTCACTGGCCACTGTATCTGACATGCAATTGAGCTCCTTTAAGCAGGTTTTGCATTCCCAAAGATATGTATAGGAATACAACACCATCTGACACGAACAGATCCTAATGAGGTTGTTAAGCAAATATTAAACAAACAGGCTGCATTTTGAGAAGAAGGGATCCGTTCACAAAATGGCTGACTCTGTGACAAAACGTCCACAAGAGGTGGTTAGATGTTACCCTGAATTTCTCACAGATGAAGGCTTGTCAAAAAAGAATGATATTGTTAAATATTAATACCGTGGCTATTTACAAGGGTATAAAATCTTGTACAAATGTATACATGATTGCTCTTACTTGTTTTGGAGTTGTTACAAAAAGTTACAGTTTATGCTTTTTGATAAAACAATGGTGGTTTGTATAGGAACATTTTGCCTTTACACAAATAAACTTTTTTTTTTTTTTTTATAGCTGAATTTTGACCACGACTGCAGAAAACTTCAGTGCTACAACATAAATCGATGAGATATTCCACAAAATGACTCATAAAAAGTGCATTTGTATACTCTGTAGTTGGCAGCAATATAGAAATACCTTCTAAACAAGTCAAGAATTAAAATATATATATATATCTATAATTAAAACAGCATGTGGAAGATTTCCGATAAATTAACAGGAAAGCGGCTTGCTTACATCCCGTGATTAAAAATTAAATTAAGTTAAAAGCGTCAACAGTCAGCCATGTATCTTCCTGGAAGAGAAAAGAGTAAGAGATCAGTGCATGCCTACATATATCAAAATGAAAAAATGATTTAAGATTTATACATTACAGTTATACATTACATTACAGACAAATTAATAAAGACCGGTACAAAGAACACTGGAGGATAATTGGAGTAGTAGTCTTGACCAATGTGTTTGAGATATTAGGCCAGCTTTACATCTATGTGTTGTCATAAAGCATGGTGGCAGGGGAGCATTACCACAATGCAGGATCGGCAGTGATATTCATTTGTGCATTGTGGTAATAAAAAAAACTGCTCATTTGGTTTTAGTTGCATTGGCAGTCCAATCAAAATGAATGATATCCCCTAAGAAAACACACAGGATACTGCACATGTGTGAAAAGGGCATTAATGAACTCGATTGATTATTCTTGCCAAATGCTATGCTTTTTCTCCAGTTTTCTTAGGTGTTGCCTTTGTAAATCAGCTCCAGAGTGAACACTAACCACTTGTTAAGCCCCTTTCCTGCCCAGGCCTTTTTTCAGTATTCAGCCCTGCAGTACTTTGACATTTATTCCGTCATGCAATGCTGTACTGAAATTCATTTTATACCATTTTTGGAGGCACATAAGTGGTATTTAATCACCGCTGGGGTTTTTTTTTTTTTTTAACTAACGGTATATAATAAAAAAAGTTCTCAACATTTTGAAAAAAACCCCCTGTTTTTCTTATGCTATGTAATGAAACATTTATTATCCAATTTTTTGGTAAAATATAAAAGACGGGGTCATGTTGGGTAAATAGACACCAAACATGCCAAGCTTTAAAACTGCAAATGCTCGCGAAATCGCAAGAAAAAATACCATGCCTAAAATTGTCCATAGGCGCCGCTTTAAAAGCTTTTACTGCTCATCAGTTCTCAAACTCATTCTCAAAAATGAATCCCCACACAGCTCCTGCCTCATGTATCACTGGCCCCTCCCTTTTAGATTGCCCTCAGGGGCAGGGCCCTCCTTACCATCTTGTCTTGATTTGTATTGTGATTGTAATGTCTTCCTTATATTGTAAAACGCTGCGCAAAATGTTGGCGCTATACAAATCTTGTTATCAGTGATTAATGCCCCTAAAATTATGGCTCACACTCCCACGTTCGCGGTGTTATGTAACGCGGAGGGGGAAGCGCACGTTTTTTAGTGTCATACAAGCGATCAGTCGACTGTAGAGATGGCTGAACGCTTGTATGCAACAGACAGTACCGGCTGTTGACATTCCCAGTCGGATTCTGCTAGGGTCGCGCGCGCGTGGGGGGATGGGGGAATGCCGTCTGCCCGTGTAATCACAGTCACTGTCATATGTACACTTTGCAGAATTGGAAGAAAAAAAAAGTACTGTACCTGTGCAAAACCTCTTTTTCACTAAAGAAAGGCGATAACCTGTGCCCACTAGTTCAATGTCCACACCAGACAGGGTGCTGCTGTCACTGACAAACTGCACTGCCAGAGTGCTTGGGTTGCTAGGTCCTTCTGAGATATCAAATTTTGCCCTGAGTGATCCCGATCCTAAGAAATGACAAAACCAAGGACAAAAAAAGTTAGTCTCTCCACATATATAATGAATTCCTATCTGTAAATCATGTGCAGCATTTATACTGGATGGGTGTTGGCTCTTCAGTGCTACTGGGCATAACATTGCAAAAATTAGTATTATGTAGCTCCTATCAAACCAATCAAGAACTACCTGGTGAGCATAACTACACGCTGTAGCAATAAAGACATTTCTGATTTTCTCCAGGAACACTTTTTATTAAGCTTAAGTGCTCGTTTGTGTCTAGGGACAAAAATAACAAATTTAAATACTCACCTGAAGCGCCGAGCCAGCCAGCTGTCACAGCACTTCCTCCAGTCCGTCTCCTCCTCTGCAGCACATTGGAATCTTTCTCAGCCTCCTCACATCTTTACACTGTGTATAGACATGATGATTTACAGGACCTTAGATCACTGCAGAGGAGGGGAAAGACACTGGAAGGACCAGTCGAAGAAGCTAGCTCGGAGCATCGGGTGTGTATAACTTTTTCTTGCCTAGACACAACGTTAACCCTTGCAATGCGAGGATAGTCAAACTGCAAGGATTACTACAAAAAATGTTTTTCTTGGAGTTCTTCTTTAACGTAAACCTGTGTTTTGCCCATTCAGTTTGCTTAACCACTTCAGCTCTTGTACCCATTATGATGCGGAGCAATCTTTCACATTGACATATCCATTTTTTTCCTTTTTTGGAAGAATAAACTATGCTTTCTTCTGGCAATATTGTCTTGCAGAGATTATGATATTTTCTATCTATAAGCCAGTGTTGGTTTCAAAACCCATCTCCGGATGTAAAAACCTCCAGGTTAACTGCTCCTTTTTGTCTATGGGCCTCCGACCGCTTGAGTGGAGGGTGGAAGAGCATGTGGGTGTCTGTTTTGGAGCCAGCAGGAGCAGGGATGTTAAACCCCCTTCCTGTCCAGGCCATTTTCAGTATCCAGCGCTGAGGTAATTTGACTGGCATTTATTCAGTCATGCAACGCTGTACCAAAATGATTTTTATATCCTTTTTTTGGGACAGATAGAGCTTTGTTTTGGTGGGATTTTTACTAATTAGAGAAAAAAGTACGGAAAACTAAAAAAACAAAACAAAAACAGTTTTCACCAAGTCATATTATGAAACATTTATTATTAGCCAATTTTTTGGTAAAATCTAAAAGATGGGGTCACGTCAGGTAAATAAGTTCCAAAGAGTTTCCCGCAGCACTCCTTACTGGTATGTCCCTTTAAAAAAAAAAGTGGGTGCTGCAGTGATGGTGGTTGGCGCCACTTAAAATCCAAGTTAAAAAAAAAACAAATGAAGAAAAAAAAAATATTAATGGTAAAAAGAAAAAATCAGCAGAAAAATGATAGCTAATAGTTAAATATGAAAACATTTTATAATTTAATTTTTTTTTTAACCGACGTCATATGCAGAACCAAGGTCACACCTACACATAAATCAAAGACTAAATACAACCAACAGTATATTGTCACACAAGAGTGACTGCATTTTGACAGTCACTCCTGCTATGTAACACATAGCAATTCACAGATGTAATTTTGACAGTAATAGCAACGGCATGGGTAAAAGAACTGAACGTAGAAGATATGTCCTAGAATGTAGTATTTTAAGATGCATCTCCTATGTTTAAAATACTCAAGTGGCTTAAACGCCCCATCTCCAGCAGCATATATTTACTGTACTTCCCATTTGCTACCCTTCTGCTTTCTTCAACCATACTCAGTATTTCCATGTAGGAAGGAGCTATGCCTCCAGTAACTTGTGCCTTACACAAAGCTTTCATTTTGCTCCCACCGATTGAACAGAAAAGCATGGGAGCAAAAGGAAGGAAATTATATGCTGCCAGGGATGGGGAAGATTTAAGTTAACATGTTTTGTTAACTTGTTTTGCCCTGCAAGGGCAAAGCACGGATTCACCTTAAAAACAAACACATGCAGATTTCTGTACTTGCCTCCATTTTCAGATTTTTCTGAGAGTGAAGATATTTTCCACAGGGCTTTCATCTGGTCAGCATTCCTTGAAGAAAAATAAATAATGTGAGTTATTTCTTATTGTAAATCATACACAAGATTTATTTTGCTTTTAAAGAAAAAAAGAAGAAAGATCATGGATCCGTATCGTGTAATGGGCCAGGTGTGTATAAGGGCAGATTAGGGGCAGAGATAATGAAGTGGAAAAGAAAAAGGAGTCCAAAACACTTTCTTGCATAGTTCGTCTATAAAAAAGATGCAAAGCAATTCATTTGCTTTGACTAATGAATAGAATAGCAGCCCATATTTAAAACACCCAAGTTTACATAGTCTATCCACATAGGTTGTGCCTAGGGATGCACAGATACTTTTTGAGTACCAGTGCAGACACATGGCATTTTCATGAGAACTACCAGGGTTGCAGCTGGGACCTGGCTCTGGCGCTCCACCACTGTCCTGAAATCATTAGTCTGTATTGTTTTAGAAAAACTGTCACATGACAACAAAAATGTATCAGTACTTGTAAGTACTCGGCAAGTACCAGTAATCGTAAAACTGGTATCGGTGCATCCCTTTATTTATATTTATAAAAACAAAATCGTACATTAAAACAGAGATGCACAAATCCCAGGAGCTCCGTGTGCTCCTTACAAATGATAGCTGCCTCCTAACTTTTGAATTTTTCTCTAGTCTAGGAGCTGGAAAACTATCTGACTACTACTGAGTACAGTACTTGGTATCGGTGCATCCCTAGTTGTGCCCCTTCACATCAATGTATTTTTCACAGGAAGGAAGTTTTTGTATTAACCCTTGCAGTGGAATCTGCAGGGGTAGCTGCTCTCTTTCGTCCAGGGAGGAAAATAAAGTTATACTCACCCGAGTTTCGGAGGCGGCTTGCTCTTGGACAGGTCCTTCAAGCCTTGCTCCACCTCTGCTGCAGAAGCCTAAGGTCCTGCGAGTCATCATGTTCTATACACTGTGTGCTGCGGCAGAGGAGAGAGGCTGGAGGGAGCGCTGACATAGTTGGCCGGCTCAGAGGATTGGGTGAGTATAACTTTGTTATTTTAGACCCTAGACCAAAACAAGCAGTTAACCCTTGCAGGGTGGAGGCAGTCCCAGGGCGAGAGTTAATAAAATTGTTTAATAAAGCTTCCTTACCACACAGCACACAGACTTACACATTAGTGTCCATTTATCTGTACTTTTAGTCAGATGAACTTTCAGATACATTGCTCAAATTGCAACATGTAATATTTTTTTCATACCATGACACACATAAGGTGACACGTGACCTGTAAAATGCAGCTTATATATGTTTGGCACATACAGAATGATGAATGTAGTTTTAATATGATACTCCACATGACTAATTCATAAGTGTAGAGCAGGACAGAGAACTTGTCCTTTTGGCCAATAATTACCTATATTGTTCTTTTCCCATGAGGAGGAATACACATTTGTGTTAACATTTCAGAGCTCAGAGACATCTGTATTCCATAAACACACATTCCGGGATTAACAAAGCATCATTTTACTGTAAATATAGACGCCTTTTCTGTGCGACAAATCAATAAACATATTACACAATTTCTTAGTACTTTTGCACCAGACTGCAAAAAAATTGCCATGCAATTTCTATAAATGTCTGAGAGTCTGCGCCAAAACAAAGAAGCACTACTTCCAATGTTCTCATTTAGAAAGAGCTCTAACATAAACACTATTACCATGGTGCAGCACATACTGTAATGAGGAAGCACAGTGCCGACATGCAGCAAATTCAACACCATTTTCCGCCCCCAATCTGTCACAAACAGTGCCAAATAAGTCAACATATAGAGGTTGGTGCATTTCTTTCCATGTACCAATCTTTGTTATCGTTCCTGTATGGTCCATGAGTTGGCATTGCAGTAAGGCCACATGCTAAAGTGGAATGCTTTGGATTAGACGCAGTTATACTTCAAAAGTCTGCACATGCTCAAAGAAGATAGGTTCCATTAACAAACGCTTTGCCCTACAATAACGTATGATAATATTTCAGTTACTGTGCAAGCACGAAATAAAACTAAGTCTATTGGCACGGTTTGATCATCGTTTCCGAGGTCTTCTAAAATACTGTTCCCAGAGGAAAAACAAACAGACTGCCGAGGCTGGAAATGCCTGTTGATTGCTATCTTTTTCGTTTGAGATAAGCTAGACCAGGGGGTTGTTCTACTTCTCTCTCCACCTCTTGATGTAGACATATACCAAGCTTGTATGTTTGCGAGATGTCAGCCTACCTTCTGATGTTTTGGATAGCTTAAAGTGAACCTGTGCCCTAAATACACATACACTTATGTATTTACATATTGTGAACCAAGAAAAAAAGCCCTTTAAAGTGATATTAAATCCAATTTTTTTTTTCATTTCTCCTTTGAGACCCTTCTTTGCTGGAGGCTGTTTTTTTTTTAAAAGTACTTCTTTCCTCGTTTTCTAGTGTGTCCCAGCCATGCTCTACCCCCCGCCCCCTGCACGGGTGCCACCATCGTTCTAATGGAGGCACCCGTCCCCGCATCGGCTGTGTGCGTCCATAGACACACACAGCCCTGTGGCAGGCCACCCCACTTCCTTCATTGATTGATGGCAGAGGAGCCTATGGCTCCTCTGCCATCAGTATTATCCCTGCAACCCGGAGGTTCGGGGTACGGATCCCTTCGGGACCGGCGGTGGGGACGAGCGCAGCTGAGAGGTAAGTGTGGGGGAGACGGGGGGGCTGGGGTAAAAAATAAAAAGGTCCTGGGCAGAGAATGCATTACGGTAAAAAACGCCCAGACCTTAATACTACATTAATACAACCCCTCAGTCACTTCTGTCACTATAAGCAATGTGGAGAAATGACTATTCAAAGTTCATAACAGTGGCACTGAAAACACAAACCAAATGAAACCCGACTTTAGAGTGTTTGTTGTGATTTTTAATTACTTTACAGTAAAAGCAGCTAGAGAGGTCTTGTTTTAAAGCTATTTTACTGCTCGTTAAGAATATGTAAATAAGAGTATGTTGGTATACTTTAAAGGGCATTTCCACAAGCTTCGTAAAAAAAATTAAAACCTGCAAAGTGAGTAATGAAAATGTGCACATGTATACATCATCACTGCACCTCTTCATTACCACAATACATTCTAATCACTTACAAAAGGTGGAAATGGACTTTAAAGTCAATAGTCTGGGCACAGGTACAATTTAAGCATTCCAGAGGGTTTTCTCAAGTATTAGAAAAGTAGATAGTTGCTACACACTTTGCATTTTTGGTGGCTATTTAAAATACAGTATAGGATTTCATAAAATCTCCACATCGGATTTTAATGACAGAGCAGGTCTATAAACAAATTAAGTAAAATACTATAGAACAAGCTCACCATATTGCAGTAGGTATGGACTGCATGTTTGCGACACCACCATCCACTGGCACCACAACCTGTATATTTGATAATGCACTGGGTACTGCCATGGACTCCGGGTTGTACTTGTAATCCAGCCTGACATCTGTAGTGGTGGGGTTACACTTCCAGTAGGTGGCGAGGTTTAGAGGTGTAGACTGAATTCCATTTGATGACACCTAGAATGAGAACTCGCATATTAGGTCCTTGTAGCCAAGGACAATTTAGGTGACAGGTTTGTGTAGAGAACTATAGTCAATGGTGCAAGAAAAACATAAAACTCAGTGAACCATAAAAGGTAAATAAGCATTACGGATTTTCAGTGATAAACTAAATGATTAAATGTATAAATACATGGAGCGAAACCTATGTAATGTACACAGCAGAGGTTTTGCAATTCAGCACTCCCTGAGCAAAGGTCACAAATTCTTGGACAGCCCTGAAACACTAGAGTACTGGGCTCACTTGTAGATGGACATGGGGCTTAATGCTAAGGACTATTTCAATCAATAAAAAGATAAAAACCATTTATGGTGATGACCATTCATAGCCTCGAGCAATCCCCTGTATTAGGGAGCATATGAGCAGGCCTGATGAAGGACTCAAGTTTGCCATTTCTACACACTGTTTTGACCATTGAACCCCAATTTCACAGCAGTGCTTAAAACATGTTGTACTGAGAAACATTTAGCGTAGAAAGAAATTGCAAATCTAGGTTTACCAATACAGTTACTCAAATGTGACCATGTCTATTCGTTTAACCAAAAAGTATCTACTGTGTATACCTTTCCAGAGATTGAAAGTATTACCACTTGAAGGCAATTTGGATAACACCTTTTTTATATACGTTACATGTTCCCATTCACATTGCATAACTTAAAATGGCTGTTTACATGTTTGCTTCCCCCATGTAATGTTAAGGAGGCGGCTGTGGTAAATAATGAAATAAATGACCACAGTAATTTGTATTAAATCCAAATGATCATATCTGTACTGTGCAGGCAGATCTCATCATTAGTCTGTCCTAACAATGGTCTAAAGATTTAGAAGCATTGTACGAGAGGAAGCTGAGTCTGTCCCTTTACTTCCACTGTCAAACTTCTCCGAGTAGCCTGCAATCTGTGCAAAGGCCTTCACCAAGAAACAAAAGGTAAGAAATATTTTTTCAAAAAATGATTTTGATATTTTCTGAATGGGAACACATAACAAACATACAGTGGGGGTTTCTTAAATTTGACTGCGCAAGTGGAAATGCACTTTAAGAATTGGGTTGCCATTATTATTCTAAACCGAGACTACCTTAGAATGCATACAGCTTTTCTACAACAGTGGCAGTGTAACAGAGGTCACATACTTTTCTGGTGGGGCTGCACATATGCAGCTTTCCTTCTAGACCCTTATGGAAAAGCTATCTACTTGTAAGCCTCCTGGTCGCTCAGTGGACTTAAAATGATATTCTGCTAAATATCTCCCCTGCAGCCCTTATTCCACTCAGTAACCTATGGAAGTCTGTTAAAAATATGTTTCTGTGCAACATAAGTGTTTGTATAACTTGACTATAACTGCTACCATACATGTACATGAAAACCAACATAACGTATATGGTGAACTTTGCCCAGCATTGTAATCAGAATGCTTATTTGTTCACGTTCATCATGAACGAAAGTTAAATAAACCAATTCAGCAATAAAGTACACAAATTTCATGACTACTTCCTACAAATTACTTCCCTGCCAACTGGATTCTGAACTAGTCACCTTCACTTCAGGAACACAAGTGAGCTCTCTCTATACTCATGCCACCAACTATCAGTGCAACATTTTATTGATCATGACTGTTGCCGCTACATTCCTCTAATCCAAAAGCAAAGTATGAACTTCAGCTAACAAGTCACCCACATCCAGCAAATTAGTTACAGGCAACCCTTCCCTCAACAGAAGAAACACAGCCAGACTAAACCTTTAATGTGCACATAGTACAATGCAGTCAGGCATTACCGCCAGCAACACTCTGAAAGTGACCCTGCAATCAGTACAAAAATATAATTTCTAAGGCCCATGTCAGACAAGCAAATCTGTTGCTGGCAACAAATGGCCAGCAACGGATGCATTAAGAGTCCTCTCACCTTCGCTTATGGCATTGCTCTCACTGGCAAAACAAATATGATGTTGCTTGTTGGCTATGCTCCGCTTGCTAGTGATATTCTGATATTCTGTACCATTGATAGAGTTATGCCCATTAGTCAAAGCTGTATTTTTGCATAATTGTCACAAAGGGTGGAGATACAGCAAAGGGGAATAGAGTTCAAGGTCACATGCCAAAAAGAAATGCCCACAGACGTTACAATTTTAAATCTTTGGGTTCTATAATGCGATCATTCAGAATCCCAACTCTCAAACTATTTTATCTGATGAGACCCATCATAAATCGCACAGCAACTAGTTTAAAATTTTACAGTGCTAGTTTTAAATAGAAGTGGTTGTTATGGGGGGGGTAACAAAATAAAACTTCTCAGACTTTAAAGTGATTTTAAACCTTTGGGTTTTTTTTTTCTTTTACAGGGGTCAGACTTGCTATAATACCCTTTTTTTTTATTCCCTTGGTATCCAAACTGCTAGCCCCCACTCCCATGTATGGTTGTTGCCTCCATCAGCTAGCTGGCTGCTGAGGAGAGACCCATGCGCGCACGCTCATGGCCGTGCCTGCACCTAGCTGTGTGCGCCTATAGACAGCGTGTGGGCCAGCCACGCACCCACTCTTGCGGTCACAGTTTGACTGACAGCAGAAGGATCCTATGGCTCCTCTACCCTCCCCCACAACCAGGAAGTTTGGGGAACGCCGACCATCTTTGTGGTCATAGCGGAGGAAACAAATGACCACAGTTAAATGTGTGTGTCTGTTTATGTTAGGACACAGCAGGGGTTTTAGAAAATTAGTGGGCATTTTTTTACCTTAATGCAGAGAATGCATCAAAATAAAAAACACCAAGCATTTTGTACCACTTTAATAGGAATATCTTGTGCTTTTACTAATGTAATTTTTCTCACCAGACCCTAGAACTTAAGATGGCCACAAATATTCTTTCTTAGAATGAGTGATGGTGAAGCATCAAGCTGTCCTTCACTGAGCTGGATCTGTACCTTAGCAAAGCAGACTAAAATACCACCACAAATAAATATTTCCTTATTGACCTTGCAGCCCATTAGTTTTCCTACAGGTTGAAGAAGCTGCATGCTTGGTGTAATAAGGGATGGCAGGGCTCGTATTTATCCCCAAAGATCATTCTAAAAGGTTTGGTCTTCATTCAAATGTCTCATCTGGCCAGCTTTTGAAGTTTTCTTTTGAAGCTTTTGATTGGTACTTTGGAAGGGTGATGCTAAACCCTTTATACATGCATGTTATTACTTTAGTGAGGCGATAAGGCTGCCACAAAGTCACTTCTAACAATGTTCAGAGATGTAGAATAACAGCGAACCTCAACGTGACATCCTAGTTTTCATACAGTACATATTGTCCTTATTCTTTTCCTTCAAAATAATTGCATTTCCTCCATTTAGAACAATTTTTCCAAAGAGAAATGATATACCACTGCTCATCAGAAAACACCTAAGGTGACTACAGCGAGGAACGCAATGCATTTGTGATCCATATACAGCTATAGTCATTATTTTATTATTTTGTCAAAGATTGTGTAAGATATCAATGAGCCCTACCTGGTATTTTAAAATGTCCACATTATAATAGGAGGCAGATGGGTTCTGCTCAGAAGATTTCTTGAGGTAGGCAGTGACTGCTTGCATATTCATCCAGAAGTCTTTACAGTTGTTATCGCTCTGAGAAGGATCGCTGTAAAAGTGGTGTATCAAAGCAAAACGCTCAGAATGAAAACACTTGGTACAATTGATAACTGAATGAATGCAAAAGTGAAAAAACGGCCAACATTTAGACACTGGCATTCATTTCTATTTAGCATAAAAAAATTGACACCTGAAATGTGGTTGCTGTGGCAAACTCAGACAGTTCTTTACCTTTAGACATTAGGAATACGCAAAACATGGGATTATGCAGATACTGTTAAAAACTTCAGATTTCTGTCACCAATATGAATACAAGCATGTGGCATGATTTCAATAAGTATAAAAACATCCATCTAAAACATGATAATACACTATACATGTAAGAAAGCACATGAGCTGCAACAAACTTAAATCTAAACTCCAGGCAATGAGAAATACACAGCTGAAACACTTATGCAGTACATGAACCATTTTACCTTCCAAAGGTTTTATGATCATCCCGTTTGGTGATGCACATACCCCTGAACAGGTTGGTGACCTCATACTTCTTTACTGCAGTTAACCAATACAGTTAGTTCACCAACCTGCCCCTGGACAGTGAAGGAGAAGCAGAATTACAGCACCGACTGCTCCCTTATGTACAGGAGGCTGATATCAGAACAGACTTCAGCATGTATGCTGGTTCTGTGTAACAATTACATTCAATCATTTTTTTAAGGAATCACTGGATAAAAAAAAAAAATAGTGTTGCTTTATATCTGGGAGGACACAAATCATACCTGTATAGAAGCTGAGTATTTGGTAGAATCTGCTCAAGTTTGCTGGTGTTTTTTAACCTGAAGCAAAGCACTGCTGGAGAGGGGTTACTTGTGAACACTTTAATAATTCCAGTTGGAAATGACACCGTCATATCCCCAGTAATCTTGACAATACATCTGTAGAGAAAGAAAAGTATTATAAGCAGGTAAATGATAAATGCTGTATAAATCTCCATATCCCCGTGTGAACTCATGCCTGTAGTGAGAATGACTTACTTTGCTGGGTCTGCTCCTTTGAAGTAAGCATTAACAGACTCTGACAGCGCTACAGCAACAGGTAGAGTGTCCTGAGTTCCTAAGGTAACTGGACTGGGCCCACGGGATATACCTAAAGTAAGTAAAAAGTCACCTATGTGTATGGAAAAGCATAAGCACAAATACCACAAAGCATCACGTCACCCAAAAGTGGTATCTTAGCGTAGATAACAGTGGGTTAAATTGTCAACCAGCCTTTTATAAATTGTCAGGGACTCCCAAGGAAAACATTACATTATCACTATTAAAAGTGGGTCTCACAAATTATGTTCAGTTTCTCGATTTAAAATTACAGCAGATGTACGATTCTGCAGCATGTGCAATGCGGAGCGAGGAATATTTCACTGCGAGAGTCCTTAAACCCTTACAGATTACAAAGTGCATCCCTCCACACCAATCTGTGTGCATTCCTGTGCCAGGCAGTGCAACTACAATTCTTATTTCTTGCACTTTGAAGTACACTTTCTTGAAACGTCTACACATGCCTGTGGGGTGTCGGTGCATAACGTGAATCTGTGCTATGCCCATGCAAAGCAACATGTTCAGTTTATTGTGCCCCC